AAAGCACAAACAATTGGTAAAAGGAGATGAAACAAATTAAGCATTAGCTGCTCCTTTCCGTCAACCAGCGGAAATGCACAGTACAGTTGTCCAAACCATCCTGATTACATACACAGATAAATCTCTTTCACTCACTCTCTGTCCTTTCAAAATATGGAGTTCTTCACTGATATGCATGCCATCCTTGTGCATGGGCCATGATAATCTTTTCTGCATTGTTCAATTTTAGTGTATGTGCTGCTGAAGTGATCGCTCCTTTCCTTTCTTTTAGTTGGACCACACTAGGGATTGAACCCAGGGCCTCATACCTAATGGACAAATGCTCTACTACTGAGCTACAATCCTACCCCTTGTCTGTTTAAGTTTATTTTGAAATGAGTCTTGCCTAGTTTCCCCATCTGTGTTTACACTTGTGATCTTCCTATGTCAGCCTCCTGAGTAGCTGGGATTACAAGCTTTTTTCTGTAAAGGTCTCAAAGTTTCTAGGCATCAAGCAAGTGCAAACAGTTTAAATGTAGTGACTTTTAGGTTAGTCTTGGCCCTAATTCTTCAATCTCCTGTGATAGCAGTACTAGAACATCCTCTCCTCATGGGTAGCAAATACACCCCCTTGATGTTGAATTTGATCTTTTTCTGTGCTGTGAAGAATGAAATGATAGGACTTAAAAGCACTTCATTGGTTCTTGTGATCCTGACATTTTTCATGGTAACAAGATGTTTTGTGGGTGCTGGTTTAAGGAGGGTGAGACATGTAGAGTAGACCTGAACCCAACTACAGTGTGGAGCCAGGCTCAGGCAACTCAAAGTTTGAAGCAGGACCATCTGCCTGAGTGCAGCCCACATCTGCTGAGCCACAGATGCCTCGCAGACCTATGAGTGTGAGAATAAGTACGGAGCTGTGAGGAAGGAATTCAGGGGTCATTTATTATGCATCATTAAAACTGTTGTAAAAAACTGAATAACTGACTAATAAAAATGATATTTCCTTTTTCTAAGGTCAAAAAGGTTTCAAGTTATCTTTTCTAAGATGTTAGACCTGTTTTATGTGTAAGTCTTTAATTTTGAATTTCCCTCATCTGTATTTTCATTTCACACTTTCTGAAATCCTCTAGAAGATATAGATTTAACATAAAATTATTTCACATAAGAGAGGACTGCTCCTCTAAGAGTGTGCCCTGACCCTCATATAGTAAGGTTTATGTTTTATTCAACTTCATAGATGGGAAGGATATGGATAATACTAGGTAATGAAAGCTAGTAATCACTGAATGTTGCCTGTGTTCTCAGTTTTGAAATGTTTTGCATAGATTATTGAGTTTAGTTTAGGGACTCTGATTCTAGCCTATCATGGCATCCCTGAATATAGGACAAATATTCATTGTCTGGGATAGATAGTTAAAATGTGGGTCAGCAAAAATGTGGAAAATACTTAATCAAATAAGAGCTGAAAAGTCAAACTATCACTTAGCTATAACTATAATCATTTCTCTGGATTTATTGAGTTAACAGACAACATGAAGGGCACCAAGAATCATATTCTTCTGCTAGTTTTAGCAGGTGAGTGCAATACTACAATCCCAAACTTTAGTGTTTTTTAAATGCCAGCGATATTTGTATCCTTATAAATTATCTTATTACATATTCATCTTGTCATAAACACTGATATATTTTTATAAAAGATATTTCCTCTTTGGAATAATTTTAAACAACAGAAAGTTACAACAGTATGAAAAATTTTTTTTCTCTGAAATACTGGGGATAATCACTCCCTAATTATTTCCATCAGCCCTGAATATTTTAGTATGTATTTTCTACAAACAAGTACATTCTCTGTCACAAACATAGCATAACCATCAAGATCAAAATTGATGATATTCCTACTCTCTAAGACACAGAACATACTCAAAATTTGCCAATTTTCCAATGATATCCTCTGGTATATACAAGATTCTGTTGTCAGTCTCTTTGATTTCCTTCATTCCGAAATGATGATGTCCTCCTGACTCTGCCCAAATCTGGTACTGGGCATTTGGGACATTATCAACTCTCTCCTCTCATTTTGATGGCATACACCCTTCCACATTGCATACATTACTGTGAAACTATAAATGATCCCACTGAGTTAGACTTTTGTCTTCATTTTTCCACATGCAGAACTCAGAGCAGTAGGAATTCAAGTGACTTTCCTGCTGTCACCCAGTGGGTGGCACAGCTGAGTCTTCAGTTCAGATCTGGATTGTACTGAAGCCTCAGATCTAGCTTTTGGCTTACTATGGTTTGTGTCCATTTGTCTCTGCAAAGCCTTATACAATGATGGGTAAGCTTCTGGAGTCTGTGACTGATTCATGATCCAGTTCTTGGATTAGGGCTTTGAGTTCCCTGAGGCAGACATTCTGCATACAATTTTAAGGAAATGGTGAGAGGCTAGCTGGTTGCAAGTGCTCTAGCCCCTCCCTTGGCTTCTTCTCCTTGCCAGTGCTATGAAAGGCTTATCTCTGCCATGTGCCACTCTGCCTTAGAGCCAACTGAGTATGGACTGAAACCTCCCCTAACTGTGAGCTAAATAAACCTTTTTCTCCTTCATTTTGGGTGTCAGGTATTTGTTGCAGAAATGAGAGAAGAGTAACTGAGACAGAATTTGGTAGTAGAGGAGTGGAATTGTTCCTGTGACAACTTAAGCATGCAAATTACAAGCTTTTGGGTAAGGCTTATGGGAAGAGAAAGGAAAGGTTTGGAGAATTTGCCTACAAGAGAAGCACTGGAACAACTTCAGCTGTTCTGTATGGGAGATTCTGGTCAAAGCTCAGAAGATGAGAAGGCTGATAGAAATTCTGCCTGTAAAGACCCGGTTGGGCAGGTTTCTTCTGGGAAGGATTGCACTGATTGTTGGACTCCAGAAAACCAATGTATATTTAGGCTTGGCAGAAAGTTTTTTGTATTTTGCTCATGTTCAGAGATTCGCCTGAGACTGAGATTAAGCATGGTGGACTGACTAATCTTTCAAAACAAATTTCAAAGAGCCAAATGTTGAAGCAGTGGCATGGCTATTGTTGGGGTTTTTCAGTCAGATTTATGTTGAGAATCAAGAGCAAAGATCCTAGCAGTATGATGTAAAATGCTGTGAATTTGGTCAGAAAGGAAGCTCTAAGAAAGCTGTGGATTGCAAAGATAGAGCTGAGAGGATATCCATTGCTGAGAAGGAATAAGAAAATGGAAAAGATGGCCTGAGGGCATCACAGGAGGTGATATGTCTCCACCTTTTGCAGCCCTAGATCTGCAAGGGTGAGGAACTTTGCCTGGGGAAAAAGCCTCAGAGCTCTAAGTTCCAGAGTGGCATGGGCATGGAGAATTTTTTCCTTGGAATCAGGATCAGAGTTCTCAGCAATCCGCATACTCAACCCCTACAGCCAAGACAGAAGAAAGCCTGGCTACTGCTCCAGCTAGTGGCAGATGTTGGCATCATCTGCATCGCATTGGTTTTAGGTGCTTGTAGAATGTAGGAGTTTAGAAATTAAGAAGGCTTCCACCTAGATTTTAGAAGAAGGCCTGGGAGGCCAGGCAGTGTGCCTCTGGATCAGCAGTATGTAAAACAGTGAGTCAGTATGTAAAACAGTGAGTGAAAAGCCTATTCAGTGGAAACCCCAGAAGTGTGGAAAAGTCAGGAACATGTATCATCTGAGGAAAACTGCAAAGAGGGAGCAAAGTCAGCCTATAAGAGAAGCCATGGGAGCTACCAGCAGAAGTGCCATAGAGGTGGCGCCACATGTAGCTCACAATTTGTCACAGATTGCTTGGATGTTTCACATGAGCCTACAGGACTTAATGCTTGTACTTCTGGATTTTGGGCTTGCTTTGGTCCAAATGCTTGGTATCCTGCTGTGTATACCTTTTAGAATGGTAATATTTATCTTGTGCCATTGAATATTTGAAATGTTTAACTTTTCATTTGTACAGAGATCACAGCTAAGAGTTTGCCTTAGATCTTGGGACCTGGGTTTTTCAGCAATGATGAAACTGTTAGGACTTTGGCAACTCCTAGAGATGGATTAAAATGTCTTTTGCATAAAGGGATATGCATGAGTCTTTTGAGGTCCAGGAGCAGAATGTTATGGTTTGTGTCTACTTGTCTCCCCAAAGCCTCATTCAGTCATGGGGCAGCTACTGGAGTTTGTCATTGATTCTTAATCCAATGATGGGATTATGGGTGTGAGTGCTCTGAGGCAGACACTCTGCATTCAAATGTAAGGAAGTGAGGAGAGGCTAGCTAGCTGCCAGTGCTGTAGTCCCTACCTTGGCTCCTGCTGTTTGCTGCTGCCATGAGAAGCTTCTCTGCCATGTGACACTCTGCCTTGGAACCAACTGAGTATAAACTGAACCCTCCAACAACTGTGAGCTACATATATCTTTCTTTCCTTCATTTTGGGTGTCAGGTATTTATTCCAGCAAGGAGAGAAGAATAACTAAGACAGTTTGGATATAGGCTGTACATGTCAACCACATTTTTTGTGATGGAAGCCTCATACCCAGGATGGGATGTGAAGTGATACAACTTATCACTGACAGGGCCTTTGGATGGTGACCAAGTTCTTAGAGGTGCTGATTCAGGAGGGATTAAGCAGCTCATGAAGGATTCCATTAAGTTCTGCTGGGACCTGTTGTTCCAGAAAGAACAAGCTTGACCCCGGTACCTCTCTGGACTCCTGTCTCACAGTATCATCTCTTCCTCCTATATTTCTGCTGTGTTATGGTGTGAGTTCTGGAAATCCCTCTTCTTTATATGTGTTATAGAAGCATAAGCAGTGCCTTAAATCAGTTAGGGGGCCCACACACATTGCCAGGATGATGAAGAAAAAAAGTCATTTTCTCCCCAAACTTTAATTACTACTTTCTACTTGAACTTCATTTTAGTTGTAAAAAAGATATGATACACTTCTGTGTTACTACTTAAACTTTATTAACTTGTGGGCTAGTTTAAAAATGTCCTTTTAATAGCTGAGAACAGTTCCTAAAAATCAAATGAAGTTAGGTAAAGGAAGTATGAGTAAGCGAGAGTCAACTGTTTTCACCACCCTGCTTGAAGCCTCCATCCCTTGCTCCAGGGCTTCAGCAGTGACTTCCCTATATGCTTTGTAGTCCCTGCTCTTGTCCTGAAGGACTGCTCTCCACCTAGATACCACCACATTTGAGGATAAGAATCATATCTTGCCAAGCACCTGTTCAAACACTGATGGCAGTGAGACCCTGAGTAGTGGA